GTTTAGGGTTTAGGATTTAGGGTAGTCTGGTCTTGACAAGAAGGAGCCTTTTTAAGTGCCGCCTCTCGCAGGGTTTCATAAAGGGGGGGGGCTTTCTTGCAGGGTTTCATGAGAGTTTGTGTGGGTTTCATGGGGTTTTAAACGGCTTATGTGGGGTTTAGAGGGCGTCGTAAGGGTTTACTATTTGGGGTTATGGGGTTCAGAAGGGTTTACGGTTTGGTGGTTGCTTAACATTGGCGGTACATTAGCTCATAATTCTAGAAGCATTCTGCTGTGGCCACGGGCTGTTATAGTCTAAACCCTCGGCCTTGAGCAATTTAAGGTTCAATGTTCAGGGTTTAGGGTTTAGGTGCTTATGCCGCTTCCGTTCGTAGAGTCACGGACTCGGCTATCCTGGCAGACTTTTTGCTGAAGGCAACCTAATGTCCCACCGCGACATACGATCTAGGGACAAACCCTAAGCCCTAAACCCTAAGCCCTAAACCCTAAGCCCTAAACCCGGACCCTGAACCCTAAACAGGTAATTCATCACAATCGGGGGCTCAGAAGCCAAATGGCCCTAAGACCTAGACGTAAAAAGACTCTAAACACAGAGCCCTAAAAACCCTGGACACTGCACTCAGACCGTGAAAACTCTAAACCACACAAGTAAGCCGTAAAACCGCATGAGCACAAAACCCCAAGCGGTACTCCTGTACAAGATTCCTCGGCCGTAAAGCCCTAGATCCTAATTCTAAAACCCAAACTGCTAAAGCTCCAAAACCCTAGACACGACACCGCCAAAACTTAAACTACAAGCCCAACTGTAAGCCGTCAAACTGCAACAGAGACAACGGAAACCAACAACCTAAACTGTCGCAGGCCGTTGCAACATCAGGCCTCAACTACCAGATAGTTAATCAGTTAGATACCAATAAGTGTATATATATATATATGGTCGCCCCCCCCCATGACACGCACCGATCCATAAAACCTCGGCAGGCACGATAAAAATGCTTTTTTCCTCGAATCGATTTTCGATGCGTTTAAAAAAGCAGCTTGACAGCGACTCTAGTTGGATTTCTTGTATCGACAGTGTTAAGATAAATATTAGTATGAGTATTCAT